TATCGTTCATTTTTAGACGGAGCATTTTAAACAACCGTGCATGTTACTTTATTTTAAAAAAACTCGTGCGTTTTACATTACAATAACGCACTTATGCGTTTTACATTACAATAACGCACAAGTGCCTAATGAAATACATTACGATATTGAAATTGGTGTGATTTCAGCCACTTTACGAGCAAATACATATGTTATAAAGGTATTTGCGAAATCGGTAGTACATAATGAACTGCAGACTCCATACATTCTATTCTGTATGTACCTTTTATAATTTATCAAATTTTAACCACCTAGCTCTAAAGCTACGTGGAATAGTTTCTCGTACATCATTACCTACGTATGTTATGTATAGGTACGCGCTCGATACCGTTGCCAAACGTATACCAATATCGACATTTGCACACATAACAAACATACAAATCTTGTTGGCAATACACATGTCTACGTAACTATTCTTTTATGGATACACGAGCCTCCTATTACATTATATCTCGCGTGATTCACAACATTAATCGAAATTCGGTCCATGGCGTAAAGAGTAGTGTATCTTGGGTCATAGCACACTTTCACCGCGAATGGACGGCTAGGCAACATTACAAAACCGGGCGGCGTCGTGGTGAATGCTCACTGATCCCACGGCGCCGACTCAACCGGCGAGAGGGAAACCCGGGGGGGTTTTAGTGGGGTAGGCCCTCCAGTCTGGAGGGAGAGTCCCCACATAACCCCTGAGTCTCCCTGGGCTCAGGGGTATACATAAAGATTTCCCCCCCGTCAAAAAAAAAAAAAAAAAAAAAAAAAAGGCAACATTACAAAAGGGCCGCAAACACACAGTACCATAACGCAGCCATCCCAGTGTGAGTACGGGTAATTGTGAAAAAAATATACTTAAGAAAAATTTACATTTATTAATGAATTAAAACTTCTTAATACGTTTTATGTACAACACTACCTGGTGCCGATTTGAATACAGATCACAACCTCCTTCTCAGCCAATATAATCTAGAAGATAAGAAAGGTATGAGGAAACATATACCAAAGAAGATAGATCTCAGTAAACTTAAAAATATAGTCATAAATATACGTAATAATCCGAAACTGCAATATAATAATAATTTAGGAGATAAAATAGAGCTGTATAGGAATGAAATATTATGATAAAACTACAAAAAATACAGACAATAATGTTAATAATAGATGGAAAAATATTAGAGTTATTTTAATAAACACAGCTGAAGAGTTTTTAGGGAAAGAACAAATTGTTCCATGTAAGTGTTGGCTGACTATGGAGATTACCGACCTTATGTTGAAAAGAAGATCAGTACGAAACAAAAATGATACAGATAGCGTAGATGAGTATAGAAGAATAACTAACAAAATAACAACGAAATGTAGAGAACAACAAGAACAACATTTTAATGAAATATGTGTAAAAAATAGATATGTACATGGAAAAAGAGCGATGGAGAAAGCGTATAATACAATAAGAGAGTTGACAAAACACATAAAACCAACAGTTTAACTATACTAGACGAGCAGGGTAATATTTTGTTGAATGACCGCGACATTGTGGAATGTTGGAAAAGGTACATTGAGGTACTGTACTCGGGACAAGGATTGGATGAAACTGATATCGAACAAGAAGATCTAGTGCAAGAAGACGACTAGCCACATTAAATGAAGGGACGCTACGATAATATAAAGGGACCAGCCACATTAAAGGAAGAGTTCAATTCAAAACGGCAAAGCAGCAGCAGATGATAGAATTCACATTGAAATGATTAAATATTTTAATTGCGACCTCTTAATAGACGAAATTTGTAATTTAATACAAGAAATGTACATGACTGAAAACGATTAGCAATATAATATTTAATAAAAACATTTACTAATAAATAACAAAAATAACGCACACACTCATAGCGCCGGACCAGGGAACCCTGTATCGCGGGTGTCATGGATACACACATAGGTAGACAATCACAAATTACACCCAAACTCACGAGAGAAATAAATGTAGGTCATACAAATATTTCTCCCGGGCCGGGAATCGAACCCGGGACCTCTGCGTGGCAGTTCAACTTGGTAACCGCTCGGCCACGGAGGCAGCTTAGTTTCCTAATCTTACTAAAATTACAAACATTGTCTAAAATAATCTTTAGAATAAACAACCGACTCCCAAATTTCTACATCTTTTATAAATTTTATAACTCAACTCCGCGGCTATAAATTTGAAGATAGTCGAAATTGAGCAGTTTATAGTGGCATCGTTCATAAATCGGGCAGTTTGAGCGGGAATGCGCCTGGCAGTCCTGTCCCGGTGTTTGGCTGCTGGTGCTGGCCTGCAGTGAATCGATGCAGCTCCGCCCCCGCGTCCCGTGCTCTGTTTTCCTAACTTTCCTTTCGCCGACTCCAGCCGACCCTACGCAACAACTAACTACGTGAGAGCCTCGCGGTCATCGTAAATTTCATTTGTTCCCGTCGCATCTTAAAGTTATTTCGGCTCAACCCGGGGAAAACATGTGTTCGCGCTTTGACCGGAATACGGACGCGCGAAATAACGATTGATAAGTTTATTTTTTTGAAAGTGAACCTGGTCCGAATGTCTATTTAAATTAAAATGCTTTTGCGTTGGTAATTATTTATATCAGTCCTCAGAAGAATTATATTTTGTCTAAATCACAAAAATTGGTAAACTAACACTATATAATTTTATCAATCTGTAGAACCGTACATGCTGCCAAAAATGGCGTCAATTTGCGTCTTGATCCCGTCCTTCACAGTTGTCACAGCTTGAGTGCTTGATTTTGACAGCATTTGCATACAAAGGGGATATGTCGCTGTGATTCGGCCAGACGTCGAGGTGTCTCGCTTATGTAGGCTTACACTACTACCTTGAGATTAATCGTTATATCTCGTGTGTTAATCAAACAATCAGTGGTCTAAGGTGAACAACAATTACAAGTTAAGGCCAATGATTGTTTGGGTAACACATGAGATAAAAGCTTGTCCTAATAAAATAAATTAAAATGTAATGTATACAAATAAGTTCACGTTCTTTAAATAAATAATAAAATAAATAAATAACGCACACACTCAACATAGCTCCGCACTAGGGAAACCCTGTGTCGCGGGTAATGGACACACACAGACAACCACAAATTACACCTAAACTCACGAGATAAATAAATGTGTAGGCGATACAAATATTTATCGTGGCCCGGGAACCGAACCTGGTACCTCTGCGTGGCAGACCAGCAAAATGAACTATAAGCCAAAATTGTACTTCGAGAATGTTCAATGAATTATAATATTCCACTTTTAGAAACAGTCGGTATTAATTAGTTCATTGTCCCGTACTGCAAACGAAGGTTTAAAAAAAATAGTAGGGCGAAGTATATAGACGCCCCCGTACTTATATCGATGATCATTGACACAGAAAATGCTCATAGAGCCATTAAAAGCTACGTTCGCAGATGCGAAAGTGCTACGATCGTTCATTGACTGCGTTTAATAAGACTGCCGTAGGTATTAATGTCTTCTTCTCGTCTAGACGTTCAATTTAGAATTGGTTTCAGTTTCAAATGGAATATTTAAGAAGGGACGGTCCGTGTTAGTCCATTATTATTTCGGAACATCGGGTCTCTTGGGACGAGTGAACCTAAAGTTGCAGGGTGAGCAGAGACCACGCACGTCCCCTACGAGGTACCGCACCGCAGATTAGGTTCGAAATAAACCTCCTAAGTTGCAGTATTGGCATCATTAATCGTCTCGTACGTTAGTTATGTGTCGGCAGCAAACCATGTAAATTATTGCTCGCAATTAGAGAGCTGCTACAAATCTGCAAGACATTGGAAGCGGGGAAAGTGAAAATGTTCACAATAAGCGACAATTTTCATCGTATTACATAAACTAATATAAACAAGTGAACAGGAATATAAATACAATAACGGTGAGAAGTAAGTGACTATAGCATTTAATTCGATTATTAAATGTCAAACTAATAAAAGGTTCAATAAGTTCAATGTTTTCGTAATGACTCCAAAATATGAGCAGCGCAATTTACTGAGCGGGAGTGAAATCCCGGCGAGTGAGGCCTTCGCGCCAGTTCCCCCTGTAAATGGGTCAGAGGCTATTCAGGCTCGCCCGAGTTCCGCCTGGCGCCCCCACACCCACTGCCCCACCCCCGCACGCGCCCTTCCGATCCCTCCTGTATGCCTGTGTGCCCCTTGCATAATTGAACACGCGGCAAATTATTGTCACGCAAGGACGACGTCTGCAACTCTTGAATTCTACCACCTCGTTCACATTCCCACGAGACTCGCTTGTTGTTAGTTAACTTGCCGACTACATGAAATGCGACTCAAGGGGCTGCGGTAACTGCTTTGCGCGATTAGCTTGCTTACATTACTCAATCGAAATGTTCCTTTGCGGAATATTGTGAACTGTGTCGTACTTGTGTCATGCAATCTACGTGCCGATATAAGTGTATCTAAAGGAAATTTTTAATAAATGTTACGATCCACTTGACTGTTTCTTTTGCACAGAATTCACAAAAATCCCAACTCAGTGTAACTTATATGTCACTCATTTACATCCATTGTTATTTATGCGCCTCGCGTCGGCGAGATTATGTTTAATCAGGAAACATGGCGCGATATAAAGGCACACCGACAACGTAACAACTTTCTGTACATATGCTTATTGATAATGAGATCTACTCACATGTTCGTCAGTGTTGCATATTATTTATGACAATATTAGGTGTACGACTTGACTGTATATTTTAATATTTATGACACGCTTCTCGCCGTCCTTTATCGTATCATATTAATATTATTTGATAGTACAATAAACGCTGTTTATAGCGACATTGGCTTTCAAGTTTTTTACATATAACTTTCTAGAACTATTGAGGGGGCTTTGCACAGAATAATGTACAATAAATACTGTTTCCCCTAAATAGATTAAAGCTTAATTAATTATTGTTATGTTTGTTTCAGGCGGCAGTACCAGAGGGAATGACGTTTCCCGGTCCACTGCCGGACGTCGCAGAGCGATGTGGGCGCTGGGCACCGGACTCATTGTCTGCTTCAGCATCAGGCAGCTCGGATGAGAAGCCTATGCCGCGTCGGCCACGCTGGCGAATTGCGCTTGCAGCTCTCGTCGTACTGGCGGCGCTAGGAGCAGCGCTGGCGCTGCCCCTAGCGCTCGGTGGCGGCGGCCGAGCCACGCCCGAACAACGACTCACCACCATTCGCCGAATGCTTCGGGATTCACCTTTGGTAGATGGTCACAATGATCTAGCGTGGAACGTTCGAAAATTTCTTCATAACAAAATTAGCGGCTTTAACTTGAGCGCTGGTTTAGAAGGCATCGAGCCGTGGGCGAAATCGCGCTGGTCGCACACAGATATCCCGCGGTTAAGGCTCGGACAAGTTGGAGCTCAGTTTTGGTCAGCGTATGTGCCATGTGGAGCGCGTGATCGGGATGCAGTGCAACTCGCTCTCGAACAAATGGACGTTATCAAGCGTGTAGTAGAAATGAATGCTGCTCACTTAGCTCTTGTTACGGACGCAGCTGAACTGCTCGACGCACATCGTGACGGCCGCATCGCTTCATTGATTGGTGTCGAAGGTGGACATGCGCTCGGAGATTCATTAGCAGTACTTCGAGCCTTCTATCAGCTCGGGGCACGTTACCTCACTGTTACGCACACGTGCGACAATAGATGGGCTCACGCTGCAGGCACTTCCGGTGGCCTGACAGAGTTCGGCAGAGCAGTTGTTAGAGAGATGAACAGGCTTGGTATGATCGTAGATCTATCACACGCTGGAGAAGAAACGGCACGCGATGCCCTCGAAACGTCACAAGCACCTGTTGTATTTTCGCATTCGGGAGCTGCATCACTTTGTAACTCAAGTCGAAACGTACCGGACGATTTATTGCGTCTGATTGCCGCTAACGGAGGCGTTGTAATGATCAATTTCTATGCAAAATTGGTGACGTGCGGGGACAGGGCTACAGTGGAAGATGTGGTGGCACACATTAACCATGTGAGGCGAGTGGCAGGTGTAGAGCACGTGGGCTTGGGGGCCGGGTACGATGGCATCGATGCGCCACCGGAGGGGTTGGAGGACGTGTCGCGGTACCCGCACCTTTTAGCGGAGCTGCTACGTGATCCTGAGTGGAGTGAGGAGGACGTGCGTAAGCTGGCTGGGATGAATGTGGTGCGCGTATTACAGAGCGTAGAACGCGTGCGCGACCAGTGGCGGCGGGCCGCCGTGCTGCCTGGCGAGGAGACGGCGGGCGCACGCCGTGGCGAATGCATGTATGGGACCGCGTGACGCAGGCTGCGCGCCGCGTGCTCCCGCGGCCCACCTCGTACTGCTCAATATTGACACTTGTTGAACGTAGTTATACATGTATATTAGTGTCCAAATGTGATTTAGCGATTAAATAATCTTACCTGACCTGATGCACAAAAGTTTAGCTAAGGAGCCGCGCGCGCTGGGCGCTTCGTCGTGCGTCGGCCGTCGCGGTTTACCCGCTGAACTCTTCTCCATCCATGCACACGACTTCGTTGACGAAAGCCCAATGCGATCCGCGATTTATATGACGTGAGCCAAAAAATGGAATAATGTGTTTATAGAAAAATAAATATTCTTTATTTATAATAGTATGTTATTTTATTATACAATTAAAATTATATACATATAGGTACCCTAGCGAGATGGAAACAGACAATACAACTTCAACAGAATCTTGTCAACGTAAAGACAACGTCTCTAAAGTTGATCCCACCTTGGATATTAACTAATGAAACTTAAATATGTTCAGGGGACACAATCAAAAAATTAATATGACGGTTTTGTTTTGTCTTCTTTTGTTAATAAATTTCCATACAAACATATGTAAATTTATAATAATATTTTGAAGGTAATAAAACATTATCTACCAATTATTGAAAAGCCACGATCAAATGATGAATATCTACACATTTACATTCCAATAAACCGTAAAATGTTCAAGGTCGTCTGAGCATAGGGTGGGACACCCTCCTTATGATTTAAATTCAACACTATGCAAACTTAGGTTAAGATGGTCCACAGTACAAAATGAAAAGCGTATAGAGCTGTTCACTGCATGGATGGGTAGATAATTATTTAAGAAGAAACAAATCATTTTAAGATTAGTAATAATCATGCAGAAACATTAGGTAGCAAAATGTGTAATACCATTGAGGTAGCATATAAAAAGTGTGTCACTTAGAGAAAACAACACATATATCATTTAGTGTTTTCAGTCTAGATTCCTTTATTTTTTTCCATCCTCTAAGATCTAGATACATTTATGAAAGGCACATGAGGATAGCGTTGGGTCATGGAAAAATTCCACTTTGAAAAAATATTATTTTTCAGAAAAAGAAATATTTTCAATTGTTTCTCCACATTTGACGTTGATACCTACCAAAAGTTGAAGTTACTGAACGAAACCGATGGAGCCAACAACTTTAGACTGGAGACCTCATTTTCTTTAAGTTTATTTTATAATTGATACTAAATAAAACTTCAAAAGATATTGTTATAATTATCGAACACTTAGACAAAATTCCTTCGATCCGGCCGGATTCGAACCGACGTCTTCTAGCTTACCATGCCAGACGCTTAACTAACTAAGCCACGGAACGAACTAGCGGACTTCACGAATTCTTCTATGTGCTTGCGTCGTATCTTCGTATTTGGTTTGTTCAACGACTTTTTAGTCGTAGCGCCATCTATGAGAAATCTATAAAAGTTTTATCACCCAGTTAGATATATTTACAGTCACCAGCCCTGGCGAAAGATGTCGCTAACAAACTAGTGGAATGATTTCACAAAAAATAATTAAATATCAATTGACTAAAAATTTAAAATTCAAAAGATATTTCTTAACGTAGAATATAATAATGAGCTTTCCAAATTATATCTTTACAATTTTCCAATTTTTTTTGGGATTTTTTCCGGAAAATTTCCACTCTTTCATATATTTAGAGTATATAATACCTAGTGATTGCAATTATTATCGAAATGGCGGGTTTTTAAAGTTACTAATAGTTTTTACAAAGATTATTTTTATTTTAAGTGTATTATGAAGAAAAAACGAAGAAAGAAATACTGATGAACAAAGTTAGAACTATATTCCTTATTTTAAACCAAATTACAAAAGACTTTATCTTGAAAATTCCACTAATTACGAATTCAACGTTTTTGTTCAAATTGATAGAAGATATATGATTTAAGTGAAAGTAAAACATAAATATTGACTCTGACTGAAGACTATTTAAAAAACCCAAATAAGTAGACTAAGTTATTTAAGAGAAGGTGAAAATTGTATTAGAATTAGAATTATAATGGAAAATATTACTGACAATCCCGATAATGAAACGTAGACATGGCTCAGAGGGCTTATATCCAAGTAAAAACTATTAATAAAAAAAAGCAATTATTTTCTAGAATGGCAATGATGCTGCTGTCAATGTCAGATTGATGTCAGCTGATCAATACCTACCAAATTTTTTTAGCTGAGTTATGCTTACCTTTGGAACAACATAGTCAACTAATTTAAAATGTATTAGCAGTTTTATTTCGTTCTACAATTTATGGTGTTCCAAATAACATAAGTTTTATTCAAATCAGTGTGTGGAATAGATCTTAATTTTGAGATAATCCTGCAAGGTAAGCCTGTAGATTCTTCAGATTTATTCTTTTTATGGAGTGTTTGTGAGCCTTGCGAGCCTTTTGCACGATCGTTTTATGATTCCTCTCATATTGCATGCAGCGTTGCCTTGAACTAAGGATGGATCCCAAACAAGGTTGGTCTCTTACCAACAAATTTACGTAGTCGTGTTAATCACAATTATTCCATGTGTATACATTAATCGCAACGACAACGTCTGCCTTCCACTTGTTGTGTGCTGACAGTTTTATCAGTTTTGTACATTGTTTATGTGACGTTTTTATTATCATTATCACTATAAAGTTGTCATAATAGTGTGATAAGTAAATTAAGTGATAATACATTTACAATTGGAAAAAAATTGCAGAAACAGCAGTCCTACATGGACAATGCATGCAACATTGATGTAGCTTATTATTTGTGATATTTTGTTACGCATAGTGGGTCTTACTATAAGAGAATTTGAGCTCAGACAACGTTTAGTTGCATTTCAAATTGAATAGAGTAAATAAATAATTTTGGGTTGTATTCCTGCAGTTACATTTAACGAGTCAGTTTCTTCTATACTCGAAAGAAAGGTGAGAGGGTGGTTAAGTGGAGTTATAGACGACATGCGACGCAGCAGCCCAGTTCAGCAGTGGTTAGATTCGCTACCCAGTGACGCCGAACATGCAGATGGATCTGATGAAGCTCCTGAAATTACTGAACCCAAGTCGGATGACACCAAGACAGATCAAACTGTCATAGATAACACTGTTATAGATACTGCTGACACAACCATAGTAGAGCCTCTGGAGATTGTTAATGAAGAGAAGAACTTAGAAGTTCCTAATGCTAAAGAAGTATGGAAAAGGAAATCTTTAGAAAGTGGAATGTTAATAAGCACACCTCAGAGTAGCCTTAAGAAAAAGTTACAGAGAGATCATTCAGTTCAGTCTGAGGGCTATGTGCCAAAATTCAAGAACCCGCTGCTCAGAGACCATTCTCTTCAGGTAAGCAATTTGTTAATATAAAATAAGAACATAGGTATTTCTGTTGCACTTTGGTCATATTATGCTTATTGCTATATGCTTACAAAAACAAAAATTTCTTGTTGCCACAATGACACTTTTTGAACGTAAATAACATGTTAAGCCAAAAAATAAACAAACAATAAATGGTTCCAGGCAGCACAAAGTGTCTCAGCTTGCTGCCTGGAACCATTGTTGTTGCTGACAGCACAATTTTTCAGCCACCTCCTTGACCCTAAGATCTTAGGCAGGCTTAAATGCAAAGAGGGCTTAAAACAATTATAATATTTTAAAAACTTTTATTAAGTATTACTTAATAATTCATATAATAGAAGATAAATTTAACGAAAAAAAACCAGGAAAAAAAATTGTTTTAAAATTGTTCCTAGAGTTGCTATAATGTGTCAACATACTAACAAGCCTGTATAATACGTAAATGCGTAAATAATACACATTTGTTCAGTGGGGCCATCAGTATGTTGACTGTTGAAAGGAGATTCTAAATTAAAAAGAAGTTTTGTACCCAAGTACAAATCTTACAAAAAAATCAACAAATTTTCCTGCATACACTAGCATGATCATGACTTATACCTAAAGCAGTAGATTCATATTTGGTAAAAGCATTATTAAGGACGTTATTTCTGAAATTAAAAACTTTGGAACACTTTCCTGAATAATTTCAAAAATTTGACTGATTAACTTTCAACCACCTAATACATTAAATTTATTTTTTGTTTTGCAATTCAATCTGTAATTAAACATTTAATTTTTCAATAACTTAACAATTACGTTTCAGTCAGATGCCAGTGGATCCAGTGGAAGCTCAGTGTTAAATGTTTTGGGGGCAAGAAAGGTAGATGCAGAGTCTGTGCTCCTAGCTTTGGGTTTTGGACCTAGTGAGAAGCAACAGAAGTTACAAAGAATACCTGATAGATTTCTAGTACCATCAAAGGTTAGTAAAATTAGAATGTTTCATTTTTAATTGCATTTATTTTTAAGTTCTTTTTAATTTCAAGGTGCATTCTTAATAATGGAATATATTAGTGTTTGAATTCATTAATCATTGCTTTGTGTTTATGCTGTGGATTAATTAGAATTGAAAATAAGTCTATGGCCTTCAAATAAGTGTTTAATTTGTACTTGATATTTTTTTCTAGTTAAGAGGAATAAGTACTGAACAATTTATAAAGGATGAGCAACACTCCATGCGTATGCATGACTGTGGTGTGTTTGGATACAGAGGCCTTACAGGTATGCTACTAGCAGAAACATCAACCAAATGATAATCTTATTGTTAACCAGTGGGGTTAAGTGGCTACTATAAAATATAGTTAACAGCGCTTTTAATAAAGGTGATTTCTATAATGGGCATAATGATTAATAGTTAATATTTTATATAGTTAACAATTTGAAAATATGAAATCATAATGAGTGAAAAGATTCCCGAAATCCCTCTGGCCATTATTTCTGGTTGAGATAGCCAGAAGTTTTCTTGTAATTTCCACTGCAGAAGGCTCGCCATTTCGGATGTGCCCAGTGACTAGAAAGCCAAATCTAAAATTCCAAAATAAACATTTAAAAGTCTAACCATATTGCACATTGGTTTAATACACGAAAATTTAAGCAGTTCTTTAGTTTAAAATAGTTTACAATAGAAATATTTAAAATTTGACCATAAAACTATATTTTTATAATTCATTGTAAGTTGTCTCTACTAAGTTGTCATTATATATTAATTAGTCATATTTATAATATTACAGGGTAATAATAATTATTTTGTTCATTATTTCTGAGTTAAGTATGTCACGTGGACATTGCAGTCCTAAACAACGCCAACAGTAAAAGTAGTTAAGAATATGTAAATGTTTTAATAATAAAACCACGGAGTAAATAAAAGTAAAGAAAATTTATCTGAACCTACATATTGTTTGCAAAATTTTATAATCACCATATATGGCGTAGTTAGTTAATTAACATATTGGGTATGTAATGAAATAGTGCTTACGGTACTAACCACTAACAACCATCTAACAATGGACTCTAACAGAACACTGCACGCCTGTATGCCGTTTCATGAAACCCGTTCCATCCAGTTGTCATAGCGCATATCCGGTTCCCGAGATCGCGGTCCAGTAAGTACCAGATTACACCTCGTTTTTTATAAATGTGTCATTGTTATATTAATAAATTTGAAGCTTCCAAATGCAGAAACATTTACTGACATAATAATTCTAGATTAAATTAAAAACTATCCAAAACCTTAATGTTGTAGTAGTTGCGCATATTTGTATCTGCGCTCTTTAAAATATAAATTTTATTTCAGGGAATCCTCATGTTCCACCGTCGACAATTGTAGCTAAAATAATGGACTGCATCCTTCAGGACGATGTCTGTCGGGAGGAGGCCCTGATGAAGACACGGCACTCCATCGCGGACATGCGAACACCTTCAATACATGCGCGACTCGCTTCTCAGCTTCACAACAATTAGCACGTGATTTGTCCAAGTAAAATATTTTTTTCGACATTGAAAGTGTTATATAACGCTGGTGTCAGCGTTTAAATCATGATCACAAGCAGCACTTTAAAATCAAATGTTATTTTATTTACTCAAAAGTCTGCGTCAGTAATAAGCGTGACATGCGCATTAGCGAAGAAATGAACATGTTGCTCTGAAATCTCTGTTGGACTTATAGTAGTCGACATAAGACTTAAAGTAAGACTGGAGGGTTATAAAACAAGATTTATTTTCGCATGTGCGATGCGATAATTTTAAGGTGTTCTGTTCAAATAAAATTTCGGTAAAGTTATTGTCTTTTCTATAGTGGATCAAGAAGCCGATTTATGAGTGTAACACAATCGATTTAGTTACAAACCCGGTACATTATACCATTGAATATAGTGCATAAAAACCAAATTATAGAGAGTTAAATAACTCATCTCACGAAATCTCACCCCAGTGAGTAATGATCTGAGATGTGATTTTTTCATATAACAAACATTTCACTCGCATTTATTTTTAAATATTCTTCCTTACATTATTATAATTTTTCTTTAATGGTGGCCACAAGGCTTGGGCAAGTGTCAGTTTCGTTACTTACGTTATAAATAAGTTAATTATGGCGTTTAAAATGATACCATTTGTGCAATATGTACCTATTTAAAAAAAGTATGTGATAAACTTTATTAAATGAAATAGTTGAAATAACTTTAAAAGGTAATTTTAAAGAGTTTGATTTTATTTTCTCTCAATTAATTGTGACAAAATGTTTGTGTAAGTTTAAATTTTAGTAGCAATCGAAATCTATCATAGATAAACAGTATAACACAATTTATTACGCAGTCGTAGTTTGAATTTAGATACTTACATTCTACGTTGACGTTTACGTGATAATTTATATAGACCAGTTCTAGACCATAGTTACCTAAAATATTTAAATACCACAGATTATCATTAACTCTCCAGTAAACCTCAATGAAAGTTTCTCTCTGAGCATAACTAAATACAGCGAAACATCAATCAGTCTGAAACATATACAAAGTACTTACGCATAATGATTACCAAACTATTGTTATAATATTAAAGACTTTGTATTTTACTATCCAGTATAATAAATTATCAAAACACTTACACTGACTTGCCTCGACTCTTAGTATGTTGGTAATTTAACGTACACGCCAGCGCATCAAGCTACACATTGGCGTATCTTGTGTTCCGTTGCACTGGAGGCGATTTTCGAACAAAAATGTGTAGTCTGACGTGCTGTTGACTGACAAAAAATTGTTAAAGTTTTGTGTGTAGTTGATATAATAAATTGTTATTGCATCTATTATTTTGAACGATATTTTCTATTTGCGTATCGTCGGCTAAATTTGAAACTTTGAAACTCCGTTTTTGGATGAAATCCCTTTTTTACTCTTAAAGAGCAATATCGGGCAATTTAAACTTAAAATAAAATTTTTAGATCTTCCTTCAGATGTAAAATAGAGGTATAATCATAGATTGTCATATAATTATTTCTAGTAATTCTGTTATTGTGCCTACTCAAAATTTCGCATTAATGGAGATTATCAGGTTTACGTATTTGGCCGACGGTATATTTTAGTTAGGGCGTTGTCTACGTAGAGGCGGGGCCTGTGCGTTGACCGATAAAGTAGTGCGTATCACGCAGCGGACGCCTTTAGAGTTTATTTTGTAGTTATTGTTGTGAATATTTATTCATGTTTTCTTAAAGTATTTCAAGATTTTTGTGTGGTTAGATGTTCTAGATTGTGTGCGACTGTTACAAATGTTAAACATATTTTTTGGAAAAAATATTCTAGAGTCCCTTCTTACAGGTGAAGTGGTTTAGATCTAATATATAAATACTTTTAGATAAATGTATTAAATGTATTTTCTATAATAATTTCTTCAAATGGGGACTTCTCGTACTGACTAATTCTTTATCATATCAATTTATTCGACATTATATAAAAACATGCCTTTACGTAAGTCTTAATTCAATTTAGTAGGTACTACAGGTGGAATGTGGATCGAAACAAGGAAAGGTCTTAAATATTATTTATCATGTGCCTTATTCGGGTACCTTAATATCAATATTTACTATATACCAATTCGTGCTTAGCCTACGAACTTACAAAACGTACGCAAATAACGATGTACTTTTTTTGAGGTGTACTGCTCTAAAGAATCGAAATATATGCAAGGCATTTGACCACAAATAATATTTCGCAATTTTGAAGTAGAAAACTTCAGGTGAAATATGTCTTATTTGCGCTCTTAACTTTGCCTATGTACCTATATGCTAAAAAATCGAATTGCAAATGTTAATGCAGTAAACTTTGCAACAACTTTGCTACAAAAACTGACGTGTCTGTGATTATACCAATGTGACCTGTAAAGTAACCTGTGTAATATTGCTCATTTACCTGTAATACAGAGGTTTGTTGCTCATAATATTACTAAAGACAACCGCATATACAATATTTTAAGCATCTGCGATTATGTATTTTTCGCTTTTTCCGCACTCGATTGAAATTATCAAATGCGGTCGCGAATATGCGCTATGTTAATGTAGCAACCGATCGCTATGGCGCCAAAATCGATATATAAAATTATCGATAATGCTGCAAGTATTGTGTGTGCGGCGAGCCTAATGATCTTTGTTTGATAAAAAATAATTGTTAACATCTTAACTAGTGGCGAAGATGTAAAACTACGCGTGGGAACAAAACTGTGTGTCAAGAAAGTAAACTTTTTTCTCAAAACTATATTTTTATTTACAAATTATCCTAAAAATTAATTAATATTCTCATTAAACATTTAACTTTTTGAAGCTATTTTATTACCAGTTACCATCAATAGTACGTTAACGTATTATACCATCCTCCAAACAACCGATGTCGAATGCAGTATTTTCTGAATTCGTCAAATAGCAATAGAAAAACGGCAAAGGGTAAAGGTAAAAACCACCTAAAAAGTCGAAAACTCATTATGCATTCATTACACAAAGTACTTAGTACCTAATTAATTGACTGAATATACGTTTTATATGTCCAAAGTTAAGGCTCAATTTATAATGCGGCGGAACGGAATGGTAGCGAATTTTTATAATGATATTGTACATTGCATAATGAACTTTATGGTCAATAATTAAAATAAAAAATAAATTAAGCCTAAGAGTAAATGATAATATGTACCATCGCAAACGTAAAGGATATGTCCGAAAGAAAGTATTAATGTATGGCGTGTAGCAAATGAATATAGCAAGACCCAGTTCAAATATAAATCCAAGGTTCAAAAAGTGATTCTTCAGTCCTGAAACAATAGAATCATTAAACTTTACACCTTATAGCAGATGGGGTAGGTTCAAAGACTTCAAACATTGATATAGTTGGGTAGGTTATGAAGTATATTATAATAAAAAAGTTAACAATCATAGCCCCGCTAGGGAAACTTCGTGTCGTGGGTGTCATTGACGCACACATGACAACTACAAATTACGTTACCCAAATTCACGAGAAACATAAATGTAGGCCATACAAATATTTCTCCCAGCTCGGGAATTGAACCCGGGACCTCTGCGCGAGAGACCAGTATAGTATTTTTTTTATAAAAGTAAGTGACGGGAACGACAAGTCGTGCGCCTGATTGTAAGGGACACGCCTTTTCATAACAGTTGCAGTAGCACCCAGAGCTTTAAATCACAAAGATTTGAGGGGCACTGCCATTGCGCCCGACACCCCGAGACATAGTTGACAAGTCCCATGTGTTCGTACTTTCACCAGCTCCCTTAGCCTTCGAAACCGAAACGCAGTAATCCTCACACTACTGCTTGGCGGCAGAAATAGGTAAGATGGTAGTACTTCCCTGGACGAACTATTTCACCAGGAGCTCTACTGCTACTAAACCGTTCGGCCACGGAGGCAGTTAATATATTGGTCAGATGACAGATGGGGACTGGCGCTTTATACCAAAAATGCAGAGTGCCAAACATGCAATATGTTATTGGCAGAACGCAAGTTTAGCGGCATGACAAATTAGCAGGATGCTACATTTTCTAAATGCAAAGTAACAAAAAAACAAGATTGTAAAAGTTCCTACCAACAGTAAGTATGGAGTTGTATCTGGTTTTGCAAATGATGCCGTTCATCATCTGTGTAACGACGACAGCTACGAAGTACGCCGCCTGACAGGCTCGCTCGACCTCTTTACGTTGTATATACGTCCATTCTTGCCCAAGAGAGTCGTTGAGGTCACTCACCGCCTCGTTGTCCCAATCCTGCCTCAGGCCTGTGGAAGGTCAACCTATTTTCAGCATCTATATGACACCTACCTGTAGATATAATCAGCACCAAAAAGCATTACTGAATGGCACTTATAAAAAGATGTGATGCTTTTTATTGACATGTACTCGTACGTAAATAAATATATATAACTTTGACAGTAACCGTGAGGGTATTTATTCGACACAAATTTCATCGCGCTCACACGGTCTAGAGCGGAATCCGCGTTGCCACGGCAAATGTCATGGCAAAACACGCTCTATTTGTTTAGCTTTTACGTTTTAACTTAAATGAGCTTCCCGGGGCGAAGCTGGCTTGAACTTGTTCTACGCGGCGGCCGGCGCGGCGACCGCGCTGTTGTATTATTCGAGGAATTTAAATGTTGTTGCCTAGTAAATATAATTCATACTCGCCATTAATGTACGTTACATGAAGGCGTATTAATTGGGCGGTCGCCGCGCGAAATCTTTCGCCTTGTGTAACTGGGCACTAAAACTTAATAATAGGTAATTACCGAATAATCTGCTTGGATAGAATCCATGTTCAGCCATGACGACGAAGTAAGCGAACATGCCTGCAGCAAATTCGATCAAACCGATGTGTCCATACACCAGACGGATCATGTTAGCAGAGACTAGACGTTGGCCAACGTGAGGTGGGCGCAGCATTACGTTGGTTTCGGCGACTTCGTGTGACAATGCTACCGCTGGCCACATGTCCGTGCCCAGATCCACACACAATATCGTCATTACACCTGGTTGGTAAGCTTTATTTCTTTTTGGCTCGATTATTGATATGTTACTTAAATCGAATAGGGTTTCGTGCTAAGTATTTGCTCCTGATTCTACTTAATTGTATTAATCAATCAAGATAAATAAAAAGTAATGAGAAGAAAGGCCCGAGGGTTTTATTTGGAACATTATCGTCAAATTAGCCTGCATGCAATCATACTATTTACGTGCAAGTGTTATGCTGATGAAAAACATTGTATGTTTCACGGGCGGTACAGGAATTACGAACCTCGACTCCTATAGCTCTCAGTCTTCGACGTCGGGCTTCTAATAGAGTCTCGTTTGTAATTCCTTATTTACCGCCCTTTATACACAATGTATTGTATGTATGTATTGTATATGTCCATTCACTTTCTGCAACACTTACCCAAAGGTAAAGGAATAGAGAAAACTATAAACATGATGACTGGAAGAATTTCAGGCACGTTGGAAATTAAGATGTAGCAGATTGATTTTTTCAAGTTGTCAAAAATTTTTCTACCTTCTTCTATGCCTGTCACTATAGTTGCAAAGTTGTCGTCCATCAAAATAATATCTGCTGTTTGTTTAGATACCTGAAAGATACAATACAAATACTCTTTATCATACTTAAAACAATGTACAGAGTCAAATAAAAGGCAGAGTACAAATGGAGTATTTATTGCTAGGTAACAGAAATCATCGGTGACACCCACTTGCGTTCCGGTGATACCCATAGAAATGCCGATATCGGCACGGCGGAGCGCTGGTGCGTCGTTGACTCCATCACCAGTCACTGCCACTATGGCTCCCTGACGTTGACAGGCTTCTACGATTTGAAGTTTCTGAGTTGGAGACGTTCGTGCAAATACTGCAATGGTGATGTATTGTCTATAGTACCTTGAATACTTACCATACCGTGTGCTGCTGCGGGTTTTCCCTTGCAGTTTACTATTATAGCTTGGTTAAAATTGCTAGTTTGTTTTTTTTTAATATCAAGTGACTGGTCGTGCGTCTGGTATTAATTAACACGCCAGTCCATAACACTTGCAGTGTCACTCAAAGCTTTATACCGCAAAAATATCAGGGGCACTGCCGCTGCGCCCATCACAATGAGACATAAGTTCACAAGTCTCATGTGCCCATAATGTCACCAGCACCCTTACCCTTCAAAACCGGAACGCAGTAATGCTTACATTACTGCTTGGCGGCAGAAATAGGTTAGGTGGCAGGACCACACTGAACGAATTCTTTCACAAGGAGCTCAAATGCTACTAAAACTAGGTCTAAACTACTTCTCGTCAACTTACTTTGAGTTGACATATGCGCTCGAATTATAGTCTTAGTACAAAATACTGAGGACTAAAATACATTATGGCATCATTCGCAAAATTACGTTATAAGGTACGCCCTTTTACTTAGGTCACCGTCTATTTTTACCTCCTTTGAAGGTTTCTAATTATAATTTACCCATTTCATAATGTTTGTAAAGGGTCCAGGTGAGCAAGTCAGGGTTCATTTTTCTCAGCTCCTCGCCGGTGACAACGTGGCATTTGTCATTGGTGGCTATGCCTACTTCGAAGGCAATGGCGAGTGCGGTAGCCGGATGGTCGCCAGTTACCATCATCACACGAACACCAGCTTCTCGGACTCGATGAATGGCCCTTTGTACCTGTAGATGAATACTCAAAAATAATAGATGATTCATTATGTTTACACAGGAAAGTAACAAGTAATCAAATCTCTGAGTCTATTTAGCCTACAAGTTTAAGTAGATTTAGAACACAATTAAAATTTTTCTATAGCCAAATTAAGCACACCATTTTTGTATACTAGTTTTTTCTAATTATCATTAATGTACCTCTTCACGTGGTGGATCCATGAGACCCATCAAACCAATCAGACGAAGATTGTTAACAGGAAAATTTTTATTCTCCGCATCAAATTCATAGTTCATAGGGTAATTCTTTGAGTCTAGGTCGTAATCTGCAAATGCTAGAACTCTTTCTCCTGTAATTAAGCAGAAAGCTTGTATCTCTGAAGTAATAGGTATCCCCGAGCTTTAAAAACGAAAAAGATTAGGTACTTAGGTCGTAAAGGAAGCTACTGTAACAAGTTTCTCTTTGATTGAGGACCTACTTTTATGGCGATGATATTAAAACACGCAATTTTGGAATTTTCGCTTTACTGACTTTCGTATTATTTCTATATAACATCTTATTGTAAGTAATTAATTTTGTATCTGGCTGGTCACGTATATGTATATTCAGTGAATAGAGTTGTAGCTAATTTATTTTTAGAACACATGTTAAAAATTGAAAAAAATGTGTTCTAAATACAGCCTCACACACCTTGACACGCCTCGAATAGTGTCTCAAGTTAATTTGGCAATACACAGAAGGCTTCCACGTTATCTGGCGCAAAATATATTTTCAGTTCCTGTATCTGGCACTAATGTGGGCCATTTTTCTCCACTTTACCGTAGCATGAGAACTTTGAACAAATACAGACGAGGTTGACATCTTTCAAGACTCATTTATATATATAATCAAACGGAATGTCACAACTGCTTTAAGGGTGGAGTCTTAGGGGTTTTCTTTTGTTTAATAATTTCTCAGATAGTACATTTTACAGGGGCTTGATGGGATGATAATATCACTTTAATGGTTTGGCTATCTGGTGCTCTTAGCGTTTAATGTTATGACGACGTTAATAAAAGCACACAAAATAAGTATCTTCACTTTACTTATTTTGTTATCTTTACAATGTCGTGTATGATATCGCACCCCTCTTCGAAGAATGGCATAAGTCTACAATATTAGTCGATAGAGTTACAAGAATTGGAGAGAATGAGGGTTATATTTTTCTGTATCTAATGGAACAATAAACATTTTTGACATAACTCCACTTATGCCATTCTTCCATAAGGGATGCTATATTATAGTCACGCGTTTTTATATTTGAATTTTAATCTGTACATACAATACCGACGTACCTGCTATATTGATATGCGATCTCTATAGCACCTATTATATTAAAAAAATATAGTTTTCATTTAGTTTAAATGTCTTCTTTCTTCTTCTTCTTCTTCCAAAACTATAACGTATTAACCGAAATCTAAGTAATTTACATTAATTTTTTAATTAAAAAAGGGTTTTTAATAATAAAATAGTTCTTTTAATTATTAAAAAAATATTTGACCATCATCTCACCTAATGGAAAGTGACGATGAGGTCGACTATGTAGCATGCACACCTAAATAATGCCTCGTAAATAATCACTCTCGCCGTGAAAAGGCCCAAGTTACAGCGTTCGGAGAATAAGTTTGCAGGCAGAGAATTTCATTCTTTGGCCGTTCACCATGTAAATGTGGAAGCGAAACGCTTCGTGTGAATCCGTGGAATAGAATATCCACAACATAGGGGTGGAACCGCAGTGTACGTCTAGTCCCCCGATGATGGACAGAGGAAGGCGGAATTAAATCAAGTAATTCCTTCGCATACTCTTCGTGATATATGTCCTGTAGAATACCCATAAACACGCAACTTTAGGGTAGTGTTCAAGGCTACTTAATTAATTATAGGTATTTTAAAGGAAGCATTACCAGTCTTTGCGAGACTTTCTATAGCTTTGTCGACGATGTCTTTCATGTCTTTCGTCAGCGGAACAGTGTTCTGATTGGTTGCAATGGTCGAACAGCTATTTAAGATGGTCTCTGGAGCACCCTTCATCATTACCATGTATCTCGACGCGGCCTTGTTTAAGTGCACAGTGACCTGATGAAAATGAAAATTAAACCAGAACAATTATTGTTATTGTTCTTTTTTTATTTCTTTCTGTTTCCATTCCTGCGTAACACATCATCTGTTTTGTTTGTACAATTTATTATGTATATTATATAAAAATTAATGTTTGACCTTAAAGAGTTCCATTATATTATTCCACGATAAAGCTTTCGAAAGTCTACCTACGTCAGTAAAAGAAGCAGTGGTAGTCTAATGATTTGATATATCGCCTCTCAAGCAGGGGTCGTGGGTTCGAATTCGCCCCGTGGGTTTTTCGGAATTTATGGGCGAAATTTAATTTGAAATTCACCATGAGCTTTTCTGTCAAGGGAAACATCGTGAGGATCACATATCTACAAAGCAATTTAATCATCTGTGTGAAGTTCCCAATCCGCAGTGGGAACTACAGCCCAGCCTAAACCCTCTCATTGTGGAGGAGGCTTATGCCCAGCAGTGGAAATATGTATACGCTAACTATTATTATTATTATTATGCCCGTAAAAGTACCTGAAGTATTAGATCCCACTGCTTGGCTAGGTTCTCCTCTATAGAGAGAGATAAGGTCATAGCTGGTGGTGCGGTATCTAAATCTAGGGAGGACCGACGAGTGTCTATTACTTTTACATTTTCGTTATTTTTTTGTTGTCTGGCCATAGTCTCCACCACACTGACCCAATATGGGTTGGTATTAAAGGCACATAAATAGATAAATTGAATAAAAATGGAAAACTAAAACATTTTTGTCATAGCAGTGAAAGGACGCTTAAGGTAGAATATAACATTTGACCAGGAATGAAATTGTTCATTGAAATAATAAATATAATAGGGGTTAAAGTATGAAATTGCCGATTTGTACTGAAA